TTTAAGGCAAATGGCCTCCAGAAGTAACAAATGGTGTTTGGACCTGCCTAGATGCAAAATAGAGAATGAGTCCATCATGAAATGCAACAAGCACATTTCATTCTACAATTCCATCTCTTTGCAGACAAAAAGATAATTTTTTGCGGTCTCTAACCTTATTTGGAGGTTAGTGAGTGTTTCTTTTACTTGTTTTATTCTCTGGTTGGTTCATTTACCTATTCTCTTAAGTTTACATATTTATTTTAATCGTAAATTTTTTTTAGACATGTCCCAGCCTTATCTCCAAGAACTTTCCCCATATATTTGAGTCTAATTACTTCAGTTGTACCAATGATCAGTCCCTGTAGAAGTGTTGGCCAAAAGGTTGCCTATATCCCCCTCCCACACACACAAAAATGAGCATAAAATTATGTTTATTCACATATGTGTGTTTGTGTGTGTGTGTACTATTTATTTAAGGATATTAAAACAAAAACATGTTAAAAATCACTACACAATTACAATTATGTTTCAACAATACAAATCACTCACCAGTAGTTTACCATCACCTTAGGAGACATGTTTTTAGGGTTGAAACATAATTGTGTAGTGATTTTTAAAATGTTTTTTGTTTGTATTACAAGTCCTTTTAACATCTTCATGCAAATGCCAATAGGAATGCTGAAATTCCGTGTTAAATTACCTTTTTAAAATAAATTCACACATCCTGGTTTTATATAGGAATTGAAGCATACTCAGTTTTTGTGCAGAAAACCTTCTACAAGCGCTCTACAACTGTAAGCAAACAACTAGCCCAAAACTAGTAGCTCTCTTCAGTAACATAACACGTGGGGAAAAAAAAAGTCCTACTCCATTTTTACTTTCTTGTCTCATTGGGAAAGGACATAGGTGTGTCTGAAAATTCCAATTTTTAACATCTTCCTCATCATGCTTCCATTTGGTCAAAAGGCTTACTAACATACAATACATATTATTAGTCTTATCAATATTACTAATATTGTTTTTTTTTTTTTATCTCAAATTTCCTTCATTGGCATATATATATATATATATATATATATATATATATATTGATTTCCCCATATTCACAGAAGATTGACATATTGTCCATCAACACCTACATTCAATTATACACACACACACCTCCACAGATTTGCTAAAAAAAAAAAAAATGAGAATACCACGATGAAAAATTGCCCCAAACTTAATAAAAATAAAGTTTTATCATCAAAATCTTTATTAAGAGGAAGGACCACAGGGTTTGGTGATCATCATATTTTTTGAGCCTTTTTAGAACATTGAAAATTTTAGTTTAAATTTATTTTTGTGTGTCAGCAGAGAGACCAAAGATTAGTATAGGAAGTTTTAGTGTATTTTTTGCAATGAAAAACACTTTGATTTTGAAATTCTTGCAAAAAAAAAAAAACTAGGAATTGTTGGATTTTAATGAAATTTTTGAGATTTATTCACAAATGAATTAAGTTATTTTTAAAAAATCTTGTTAAAAAACATTTTTTAAGACCTGTTATCCTCCACTTATTTAATTTTATGAAAATTCAAGACAGTAATTTTTGTTTCACTTAATGTTTATATTAATTATACACAGAACTCATTGGGGAATTTAAATCTGTTTTTTTGTAAAACAAGACCCTTAGTTACTGAAAATCTACTCTGAATCATAAACTAAAAAAGCAATATAATTAAGACATTATTTGATTACAAAATCTTTTAATTGCTTTTATAAATAAAATATATTATAGACAATATTGACTTAAGAAGAAAAAATTTTTGATGAATAATGAATTCTTACAAGAATTGTTTGCATTGTTTTTAAATTTTGATTAGCCTAACTTATAAAGTTTTAAATCTTAACTTTCTGTATTAATTTGTACCTTTTAAGTGTACTTTTATTAAGTAAAAACTATATTTACTAATCATAAATGGAAAAGTTTACTACAATTCAGTGCCTACCCTCCAATATTTTCAAAAGAATTTTATTTTTGTGTGTGTGTAAACATGCCAATTTTTGTAAATATGGACATCCATATACAGCATTATCAGAAAATAAGCAATAACTATAGTAAATTTTAAGCCAAAATACCTAAAATTCAACAAATCATTAGATTACAGGGAATATATTCCTAAATTTTTAAGATTACTGGATAGTTAAAAATTATATAAATAATGCTCTCGCATTATATTCCTCAAGTAATTTTTATTGATGTCCACCATAGAAAAGAATTAGATAAACTTTTATCTGCCAGTCATACTGCCAGCTTTCAACACCTTAAATAAACATCTACTTCCATGTTAAATAATGCATTTCTGCAATATTTTAAAGTTAAAGTAATATTCGTTTTAAATCAGATTATTTAAGCTTTGAATTGGCTAAGATGGCTAAAAATGGTGCTAAAATCAGCAATCAGTAATTTCCAAAGAAAAACTCCTTCAACTCAATTAGTTTTGAAATAGAACAAATTAGGTTGCTTATTAGAAATATTAAATTTAATCTATTAGCTTGAAATTAAAACTGAAATAAAAGCTTCAAGAAATGTTTTTAAAAATTCATTCTAAACCTTAAATATTGCGTTTTTGTGGAGGTACCTAGTGTGTATTTAGGCAGCAATCT